GACGAGGACAAGGCTGGAGATCACTCTGTCATGCTGATTGAGTTAGAATAACAGACTGGAAGCTTTAAAAGGAGGGTGGTGCTTGAAATCATTGTTCTTACTCTGTTAACCAGGGTTACCTACAAGGAAACCCATGCCGTCATCATTGCTTTGCACAAAAAGGGCTTCACAGGCAAGGATATTGCTGCTAGTAAGATTGCACCTAAATCAACCATTTATCTGATCGTCAAGAACTTCAAGGAGAGAGGTTCAATTGTTGTGAAGAAGGCGTCAGGGCGCCCAAGAAAGTCCAGCAAGCGCCAGGACCATCTCCTAAAGTTGATTCAGCTGCGTGATCGGGGCACCCCCAGTGCAGAGCTTGCTCAGGAATGGCAGCAGGCAGGTGTGAGAGCATCTGCACGCACAATGAGGCGAATACCTTTGGAGGATGGCCTGGAGTCAAGAAGGGCAGCAAAGAAGACACTTTTCTCCAGGAAAAACATCAGGGACAGACTGATATTCTGCAAAAGGTACAGGGATTGGACTGCTGAGGACTGGGGTAAAGTCATTTTCTCTGATGAATCCCCTTTCCGATTGTTTGGGGCATCCGGAAAACACCTTGTCCGAAGAAGACAAGGTGAGCGCTACCATCAGTCCTGTGTCATGCCAACAGTAAAGCATCCTGAGACCATTCATGTGTGGGGTTTTCAGCCAAAGGAGTGGGCTCACTCACAATTTTGCCTAAGAACACAGCCATGAATAAAGAATGGTACCAACACATCCTCCGAGAGCAACTTCTCCCAACCATCCAAGAACAGTTTGGTGACGACCAATGCCTTTTCCAGCATGATGGAGCACGTTGCCATAAGGCAAAAGTGATAACTAAGTGGCTCGGGGAACAAAACATCCACATTTTGGGTCCATGGCCAGGAAACTCCCCAGACCTTAATCCCATTGAGAACTTGTGGTCGAGCCTCAAGAGGCGGGTGGACAAACAAAAACCCACAAATTCTGACAAACTCCAAGCATTGATTATGCAAGAATAGGCTGCCTTCAGTCAGGATGTGGCCCAGAAGTTAATTGACAGCATGCCAGGGCGGATTGCAGAGGTCTTCAAAAAGAAGGGTCAACACTGCATATTTTGACTCTGCATAAATGTAATGTAATTGTCAATGAAAGCCTTTGACACTTATGGAATGCTTGTAATTATACTTCAGTATACCATAGTAACATCTGACAAAAATATCTCATAACACTGAAGCAGCGAACTTTGTGAAGACCAATACTTGTGGCATTCTCAAAACTTTTGACCACGACTGTACATGTGCAAGCTCACACACACACACACACAACATATGACAAACAAGCATACAAGAACACAAAATGAGGGACAGTTGAGACGGTAAGATGTACATGAAGACATTTTTATTGCAATAGCTCTATCGAAAGCAAAAGGTCTGATAAATATAAACACTATGCAATGCTCAACATTCCTCCCAATAGAACCTGCACCCATCCCTCTTTCCCTCCTGAAGTAGATGAGAGAGATAATAAAAAAGGTGCCTTGAGGCGCCATTAACATGAAAAAACAAAAACTGTATGCTATTTAAAGAGGGGGGTGGAATCCACCAAGAACAGTTATCATTTTGAAATCATTCGTTTTTTTTCAACCATTTTTATTTTTCATAAAGACGCACGTTGCAGAGAAATATAATGCACATCCGAGGATCAACACCTCCACAGTATGAAGAGAACTGTCTGTTCCGTCAAGCTAAATTACAAAGCCATTCAATTCTGAAAGAAAAACCACAGGTAGCAATGAAAATGACACCTTCCTCATCACTGTGGCGGTTGCCATCAATCAACCAGTTGTTATTTCGTACTACACAGCAGCAAATAAAATAGTAATAATTACAAAACATTAGGCAGCAATTTTACTTATTTTCTTTTGTCTTTTTTTTGTATTTTTTTTACAAAACTGCAAAATGTCCAAGTCGTTGTACTTTTTAAAAAAAAGTTTATCCTGTCTTTGTTTAGTTTCAAAATTATTTAAAACCCCCGTCTGTCTTTAAGAGACTCAACCAAACTGATCAACACAACACCAAAAAAAGAGATTTAACTTCTGCCCTTTCTGTAAACTAGATAAAATAACAGATTTAACTTCTGCTCTTTTCTGTAAAGTAGATAAACAAAGAAAATACAGCTGCATATATATTTATGCAGTACCGTTTACGTCCTCTGTAATATATTACGTAGTTATTATTATCAGAATTTTTCCATTAATTTTCTAAAGGGTTTGTTATTGTTTACTCAGAATGCTATGGCCCTTTTCAAACATCCACACTAGCACACTACTGAGAATGCATGTCTAGTACATGGCTAGTATGGAGTTTTGGGACACAGCCGTAGTGGCCTATATCATCAACAGAACATAAAGACAGTACAAAGCAGAATCATTCACTAAAACTAAATTGTAAAAAAAAAACAAAAAAAAAAAAAAACAAAAAAAAAAAATCTATACTCATCTTTATGATTGATTGAATTGATTAGATAATTGATTAGGTAAGACTTCTCAATCACAGAAAGTATTTTGCCAAATATAGCTTTTTTATTGGTCAAATCTAATAGCTCAAAGCCGAAAAGCACTGCAGCGTAACCTAAAAAATAAAACATTGTCAAACTAAACGTATCTGAAATATGAAAGCAACAAAGTTTGTTTCACCACATATCATAACCTTTCAAATTGAAATGTATGTTTTTTTTATGAACAAATAAAAGTTTAAAATATTGCAGACAAATCACAGTACAGCCTTTCAATGCGTTCCAACCATAGAATTAGAATTATGATAATTCTAGTTCTATAGTTCCAGCCTTGGTAGGTATGGTAACGGTTCCTTTTCCATAACATAACAGTAGGTTCTGTGCCCCGTAACTGTACCATATAAGACACTGGTTGTACCAAATGGGGTAAAACAGGTGAAGTCACCCTATTCCTGGAGGGGTAGCTAGACGGATGGGATCTGACTGGTTGTTGAAAGGGTTTGGGGTCAACTTTTTCATATTGTCCCCTTTTCTGCACCAACAAATATCATAATCATCATCATCAACGTCCTCTTACTGAAAACACACCGACAAGACGTACCATGAAAAATACTGTAGCTTTTCACGTTTCGTTTTCTTTTCTCAACAAAAGTCAAGCTCATTTTTCTTTCCACTGACATTTTGATTCAGTCATCAAATCAAATTAGTAAAGGAGCTAGAAAAGAGAGGGAGGGAGGGAGGGAGGGAGTATAATAATCAGGTGAGCAAAAAACTAAAACAAAAAAACACTACAGTCAAGCCACTAACATCTCCTCTTCCCTCCAGCCCCCTTTCTCTCTCTATCCATCTCTCCTCTACAGTGGGTTAACTACATAAAAGGCTGACAGAGATTATACCGCAAAATACACAACAGTCCTCTAGGACTAACAGCTTCCAGCCTTTCAGAAGGGAGAGGGAGGTAAAAAAAAAAAAAAAAAAAAGAATAGAGGAATGTTATACAAACACCCATGGCACACTTGAGTCAAAATACATTTGGTGAAGTTCCCTTCAGTGGAGTTTAGTCCGCTAAGGTTAAGCCTGCAGTTAACACTAATCTGTACCCATTGGATTTTGCTCTTATGTGCTGTACTATAATGCAAACATCATGTACAGGCTTGCAGCAAAGCACTGCTTAAAGTTATTGTGGTATTTAACCAGTGGTGAAAAAAAGTACTTAATTGTCATACTTGCGTAAAAGTAAAATACTTCAAATGAAAGAAAATAATAATAAAAGAGGAAGGCCTTCAGCTTTCAGAGTTCCGATGGTCTTTCTATCACTCCTCTGTTCTCAAGTTTTGCGCTGACACTCGTTTTTCTAACTTCTACCCTTTCCTATCAGAAAATAAAACCCATGAGTCTTGTCGTGTGGCGAGTCGATGGTGGAAATGTGCGTTGTTTTGGCAAGATGCGAAGATGTGTGACGTGTTTGGGCAGCTGTTGTGTTGAGGCGAACAAAGCGACTGATTCCAAGCAACATCATTGAACAGAAAGTATTGCACCTCTCATCTCGTTTTCAACCCTTTGTAGTAGCTACACTTCCCCCAGCGCTAACCCTAAGGTCATTTCCAGCAAACCACTGGTTCCTGTGGATCTGTTTAGATCGAGAATAGACCCTCACCCCCCCTCCTCCTCCTCTCTCTCTCTCTCTCTCTCCTATTGGCAGTGGGAAGGGTCTAGAGTTCATAAGCAGGGAAGTTAGAGGCTGACAGAGATGTGTGTTTGTATGAGTATGTGTCCGTGTGCGTGTCCACGTGTGTATTGAGTGTGTGTGTGTGTGTGTGTGTTGCACAGGGGGCAAATATGCCCAGCACGTTGCACCTTGGGGGGTAGAGTCGGATTACTGGGACCCCTAACGAGGCCCAGGCCCCCTGTGTGTGTTTATGTGAACCAGCAGCCCTACTGACAGACTAGTGGAGTCACAGAAACAACAGGTGTCGCCTAGCCTAAACAGGACACACTGACACGTGTGTGTAGTCATTCAATGTAGCCTAAAGAGGACAGACAAGCAGCCAGATATGTGAAAGTGTGTGTGTGTGTGTGTGTGTGTTTGTGTAAGCGTCACACACACACACTGTACCAGAACTGTGCTAATAAGGCCCTTAAGTGGAAATAAAGTACCTGCTTCTTTTACAGAAAATCTTTTTCATCAGGAAAACTGGGACCATCGTTGAGTCCAGTACCCTTCTCTGCTACCTAATACAAAAATACTAAATAAATCATGTTAACATAATAAATGCACCTGAAACCTTTTGTGGCAATAAATATAGTAGTGTGTATATAAGTCTTAAGAGAAAACTGTACTGACCGGTCGGTCTCCACCCAGTCTCTAAGACGTATTATTCATTACTGTTATACAGCCATACTCAACTGTTTAAGCAAAGCTCCCTTTTCGTACTGTTAGATCAGAAATAAAAGTTATTATATCTAAAGTCCTTTAACATCGACAGCAGCCTCAGAACCAGACGGTCTGAGAAAAAACAAAATATCATTAAAAACAAAGTAACAAAAAAATAATTAAAACACAAATGCGAGTGCCTTCAGTCTTCGTCTTCGATCGTTTTAGTGATGTTGCGGTTGTTGTTGTTCAGAGGGGGTGTGACCTCGTGGGCTGGCCTTGGGGGTTGAGGTTGAGGGGTTGACGGTCAAAGTGTGGTGTGGGGGTGTTGAAGGCCACGGTGGAGGGGGTTAGGGGGTCTGTGATGCACCCCTCTCAGATCCCTCCATCCATCATAAGTCTGTAGAGAGATAGAAGGGAGAGAGAGAGGGGGAGAGAGAGAGTGAGCGAGAAAAAGATGATCAGTTAACTTCACCAAAACAGTTGGTAAAGAAGCATGTCCCCGCATGGCCTCAGCTAACCTGGTTAGTGGTTGCACACCCACACACAACCACACACACCCACACATACCCACACAGGTTCTGGTAGTAGGTTAGTCTGGGCTCTGACCGGCCCTGTTGTGAGTGTGTGTATCCCCTGTGTGTGTGTGTGTAAGCGTGTATCGGTGTGTGTATCCTCTGTGTGTGTGTAAACGTGTGTCGGTGTGTGTATCCCAAGCGTGCATGCCTCTGTGTGTGTGTGTGTGTGTCGGTGTGTGTATCCCCTGTGTGTGTGTGTGTGTGTGTGTAAGCGTGTGTCGGTATGTGTATCCCAAGTGTGCATGCCTCTGTGTGTGTGTGTGTGTGTGTGTGTGTTGACCCAGAGCAGGGCTTTGATAAGGGCTTTGTCCTGTTGGCTGCTGACCATTAACATATGCTTTGAGAGAGAGAGGGCTTCAGCTGTGGACGGGCTGGAGCGACAGGAATGCCGGCTAACGCTTTCTATCTGTCTGTTTGTTACGGGGGGGGGGGGGGGGGGGGGCAGAGAGAGAGAGAGAGAGAGGGGAGAGAGGGTTGACACAGAAAGACAGACAGGGCAAGAGAGCGAGAGAGAAGAGGTGGACAGAGGTCTTTGGTTAATTGTTATGTCAGTTGACTTTGACCATAACAATCTCCTCGGACTCCACCACTGCAGGACACTACTGTACCCCCCCCCCCCCCACACACACAGCAATAAAACGCCTGCATATTTCCACACAACACCCCTAGACCACCTGCATTAAGACCTAGTCTGGCGCCTGGGCCAGTGTTTGCCCAAGCTAAATCTCTCTCTAAGGCGGGGTGCTTCGGCTCTCAAAGCAACAGCCAGCCAGCTGACATAATTTCACACACTATCAAAACTAAAACACCTCACTGGTTGAAGTGAAACTTTTGATATCACCGATACGACAGAACAGACGACAGTTAACCTACAGTAAGCTATGAAAGTGAACATCACATGATCGTTTACGGCTTCTTTAGAACGCGGATATCAATTTGAAACCACTATTGTTAGGCTTATACAGGATACCCCCAACCAGAGGTAGCAAGTTTATTTTAGCTAGCCAGTTTATTTTAGCTGGGTTAGGGTTAGGACCAACTGGGTTACACTGAGTTGTATTCATTAGTACACACCGTAGCAAAACGTTTTACAACGGAAAAAACGACAAGTGTTTCTTATTGGACAAATTCAAGTAGGTCCATACCCGTTTCGGCCCGTTTGGTTCCTGGTCAGGTCTGGGTTAGGTATGAGGTTCCTGGTCAGGTCTGGGTTAGGTATGAGGTTCCTGGTCAGGTCTGGGTTAAGTATGAGGTTAAAGGTCAGGTTTCAAATCAGCTCACAGGTTAAGTATCCCTGATTAGCCTGTAAGCCGATAGCTACTGCCTGTGGTACAACACAGGACACATTTTCAGCTAGCTCTGCCACTGTCCTCTCTGTCTCTCCATCCTCTCCAATTCCCATCTCTCTTTCACCCTTCTCTGCCTCTCGCTTTCCTCTCTCCCTCTCCGTCTTTCTATCAAATCTGTTTTTACCCTGTAGCCTACCTGTTCTTTGACAAAGGAGGAGGCAGGAGAGAGAGAGAGAGAGAGGTTGACCTGAGAAGACCGCTGAAGCCGGACGGAGGAGAAAAAAGGAGGAGAAGGAATTAGCCTCTACTCTTCTCCACCCTTCCTCCTCCTCCTCCTCCCCACATCCCTCTAGTTGGGGACTTGGGGGTCAATTCCATCCAAGGGGCTCAACTTCAATAGATATCCTGATGAAATGGTGGGATGAGTCTTAATAGTGGTAATGCCATCCATGTCAACACGGTCTCACACCCACTCGTATTATATTATACCTTTTTGAGGTATGCCTAGTCGGAGCGACCAGGCTGCCCATGTGGCTTCTCAACACCTCATGCCCCTGCCTCCCCCTCATCTCCTCTTTTCTCGACTGAAATGGAAAGGGCAATCCTTCCACTTGTAGGGCCCTATAAATTCTGTTTTGCGGAAAACATGGACGGAATCACGGAATCCAGACATAAAAAAATAGTTGTTTTTAACTTAGTAGGGAATCAACTAAATGTATTGAACATATTAGAAAATGCATTAATTTGCCCAAGTTAATCATTAGACATGAACAAAATGCATCGGTGATTTGCATTTTCCTGCAACTTTCTAAAAGGTCATGACCCCGTCTGTTTGGGTTGTGTGCAGCTCTCGTATGTCTAGTCTACACTTTGTGTCGCATTTAGCGATGATGCTAATGATAACCGTCTGCTGGTTGATGGAAAAGCTTTCTCAAAAACCTTCTCAATTAAATGTTAACTACCAAGTAGCCTATGCCTACCTGGCAGAATGATATGATTATATGCATCAATCCAGTGGCCACTTGTTTTGCAAACTCTGCAATCACATGAGTGCTACAGAAACACCGCTATCCAAACAACAGGCTCTGGCTGTTGGCACTTGCATTAAAGGGTAACTACAGCCAAAATTCAAAATAATAATTATCTTAGATTTTTCCCAGACCTCAAAACTGGTCTCCTGATGTGGTTTAAGCATTATTGTGGACTAAGAAAAACAACATTTTATGTTCTATTAAAAAGGTGTGATTTTGAGAGCGGAAACCTGAAAACATGGGGAAAAACGGAAACCTGGAAAAACAAAAACGGAATCAGGTAAAATAAATAACTGCTTTTATGGGGCCCTACACTTGGCCTAAGGCAGTGGTTTTCAAACCTCGCTTTGGGGACCAACAGACATTTCACAATTTTATTGTAGCGCTGAACTAGCTCACCTGATTTACCTAGTCAAGGGCTTTATGATTAGTTGATGATTGAAATCAGGTGTGCTAGCTATGGGATAGATCAAACACAAGGAACGGCTGAGGGTCCTAGAGGAGAGGTTTGAAAACCACTGGCCTAAGGGTCTGTCCGTGACAGTCAGAGAGAGAGGGAGAAAGAACGTGTGTTTGTGTGCATGTGAGTACATTTAGAAACCAGCCATGCCTACTATAGTAAAACAACAGCCATTCTTAAATCCCACTACTGTCGCTGTACTCTCACCCTCCATGACCCAGTCAGCGTGTGTCAGTGTGCGCGTGTGTCAGTGTGCGCGCGTGTCAGTGTGCGCGCGTGTCAGTGTGCGCGCGTGTCAGTGTGCGCGCGTGTCAGTGTGCGTGTAGGATTCGAACCTTCTCAAAACAGCCTAATTCATACTGTTTAAAAGTTATTTTTCAGCTTGATGCCTACTTCTCACTTCAAATGTGGTTTGTTTTTAATTTCAGTGGTTTTTACACCGGAAGGTGTTTTTCTGTTAAAGGTACATTGTACAACATTTCCACATGTAAAGCCAGATTTAAAAAAAAAACATTGCAGCCAAAAGTCTGTCATTAAATTTTAAGACCCCTTAAGGTATCAAAAAAAATATAGAAAAAAATGATTGGATGAAACATGGAATTTGGCATTACTGCTATTAGCCAATAGAAACACATTGAATAACAGATTCACTAAATGGAACAACAGATAGTCCCCCCCCAAAAAAAATCAAAATGACGTTTTTTCTGAAGTGTCTGTCCTATATCTGAGAGATATAAGAAAGATCAGGAAACGATGTATTTATTTTGTACATGTATTTATCCCCATGTATTTATCCCCTTATTTTAGGCACTAAACTATATATATATATATATATATCTATATATATATATATATATATGACCATTAATTTTTTTAACTGGTACTGGGGACCTTCAGATGAATCTTGTGAGCGTCCTAGGGCAAAACACAATCGGAGAACACCATCGTGTTCTTGAGAGTCTCCGCTTTCAATTGAGTGGTCATAACAGTTTGTAGGCCAAACCGTTTTCGCAAGAAAACCGATTTTTGGGATCTCATGGTCTGACAAATACCGCTCGAGCTCTGCCACCTTTCACCACAGATGCGGAAGGGCGATATCGGCAGATGCAGTGGATTGAGACGCAGGCCATGCAAAAAAAACACATATCTCTAGCTTAAACAGACGGATTTCAATGGGGATTTTTGTATTATGTTAATTAGATGTATGCAGGAGCGCAACCATTGTAGGCGAAGGCAGAGTTATGCATCCTATACATTAGTATAATCTGGGTTTGGGGGGGGGGGGGGGGCATTAGCCCCTCCCCCCACTCTGTGTGTGTTTTAGGCAGCTAATGACATTATCAACTAATCACAGGCTTAACACACAGACAGAGAGAGACAGAGAGAGAGAGAGAGAGAGAGAGAGAGAGAGAGAGAGAGAGAGAGAGAGAGAGAGAGAGAGAGAGAGAGAGAGAGAGAGAGAGAGAGAGAGAGAGAGAGAATTTCTGTCTGTAATAAAGTCATTTTGTGGGGAAAACTCCTTCTGATTGGCTGGGCCTGACCTTGCGGGCGCTGCAGGATTTCAGTCCTTCACAGCGTAGTGTGTTACCAATTGTTTTCTTGGTGACTATGGTCCCAGCTGCCTTGAGATCATTGACAAGATCATCCCGTGTAGTTCTGGGCTGATTCCTCACCGTTCTCATGATCATAGCAACTCCACGAGGTGAGATCTTGCATGGAGCCCCAGGTTGAGGGCGATTGACGTAAAAGTTTCTTCCATTTGCGAATAATCGCACCAACTGTTGTCACCTTCTCACCAAGATGCTTGGCGATGGTGGGTGGGTGGGCTTGCTCCCAAGTGGGTGGGCCTATGCCCTCCCAGGCCCACCCATGGCTGCTCCCCAGCCCAGTCATGTGAAATCCATAGATTAGGGCCTAATTTATGAATTTCTAATTGACTGATTTTCTTCTATGAACTGTAACTCAGTAAAATCTTTGAAATTGTTACATTTTGCATTTATATTTTTGTTCAGTATAGAGATTCCTTCTTCCCTAAATTCAAATTGAAAAGTTCTACATTCACAGAACAATCAAACAAAAGGTCTGATGTTAAAGAGTTGGCAGCACAGTACGTCACAGCTTACCACAAGCTAAGGGAGGAAACATAGAATATAGCCTACTATTTTCTCCATGTATAATAAGTAACAAAACAATGTAAGTACCTCCAGTCATTTTTAATTGTTTGTTGAATTAGATTCTGAATGTAAACCATTACTTACATTGCTTTGTATATTTCTTTGTTTTATACATTTAGTTTTTCTTAAGTATTACATCTCCTATTGTTTTTGTCGCTGTTCTTTTCACAATTTATCAATACAGTGAGGGAATACTAGTCACACACACACTACAGTACAGAAACACACACACGCAGTACAGAAACACACACACGCAGTACAGAAACACACACATATTATGTTAATGACGATACTATATTCTACTGGCTGACAAGGAACAACCTTTATGGGGAGATAGAATTCCTAACCTTCCCATTCTGATTCTGTTTAGAAGTAGGAACATTCTAATTGATCACAATTCCGCCGTAATGGAACCCAGAGAGTCTCTCAGGAAAACCAGAACAATAACTAGGCTACTCCAGGGGTGAGGTCTCACGGAGGGTTAGGGGTGCTAGTGGGCATCTCTAGGGATGTTAGGAGTCGTTATATCATGTCCACTAGTGGACATTCCAGTTTCATTCTGGGGGGAAAATGACATGACATGTACCTAGAATGTACACACACACACACACACTCGCTGCCAGTTGAGGACCTGTGAGGCGTCTGTTTCTCAAACTAGGCACTAATGTATTTGTCCTCTTGCTCAGATGTGCACAGGGGCCTCCCACTCCTCTTTCTATTCTGGTTAGAGCCAGTTTGCGTTGTTCTGTGAAGGGAGTAGTATACAGCGTTGTACGAGATCTTCAGTTTCTTGCCAATTTCTGGAATGTAAAAGCTTTAATTTCTCAGAACAAGAATAAACTGACTAGTTTCAGAAGAAAGTTGGTCCTCTGTAGCTCAGCTGGTAGAGCACGGCGCTTGTAACGTCAAGGTAGTGGGTTCTATCCCCGGGACCACCCATACACAAAAATATAAATTGATTTGCATTTTATTGAGGGAAATAAGTATTTGACCCACTCTCAATCAGAAGGATTTCTGGCTCCCAGATGTCTTTTATACAGGTAACGAGCTGAGATTAAGAGTGTGCTCCTAAAGTGAGTGCTCCTAATCTCAGTTTGTTACCTGTATAAAAGACACCTGTCCACAGAAGCAATCAATCAATCAGATTCCAAACTCTCCACCATGGCCAAGACCAAAGAGCTCTCCACGGATGTCAGGGACAAGATTGTAGACCTACACAAGGCTGGAATGGGCTACAAGACCATCGCCAAGCATCTTGGTGAGAAGGTGACAACAGTTGGTGCGATTATTCACAAATGGAAGAAACTTTTACTGTCAATCGCCCTCAACCTGGGGCTCCATGCAAGATTTCACCTCGTGGAGTTGCAATGATCATGAGAACGGTGAGGAATCAGCCCAGAACTACACGGGATGATCTTGTCAATGATCTCAAGGCAGCTGGGACCATAGTCACCAAGAAAACAATTGGTAACACACTACGCTGTGAAGGACTGAAATCCTGCAGCGCCCGCAAGGTCCCCCTGCTCAAGAAAGCACATATACAGGGCCATCTGAAGTTTGCCAATGAACATCTGAATGATTCAGAGGAGAACTGGGTGAAAGTGTTGTGGTCAGATGAGACCAAAATCGAGCTCTTTGGCATCAACTCAACTCGCCGTGTTTGGAGGAGGAGGAATGCTGCCTATGACCCCAAGAACACCATCCCCACCGTCAAACATGGAGGTAGAAACATTATGCTTTGGGGGTGTTTTTCTGCTAAGGGGACAGGACAACTTCAGGACAACTTCACTGCATCAAAGGGACGATGGACGGGGCCATGTACCGTCAAATCTTGGGTGAGAACCTCCTTCCCTCAGCCAGGGCAATTAAAATGGGTCGTGGATGGGTATTCCAGCATGACAATGACCCAAAACACACAGCCAAGGCAACAAAGGAGTGGCTCAAGAAGAAGCACATTAAGGTCCTGGAGTGGCCTAGCCAGTCTCCAGACCTTAATCCCATAGAAAATCTGTGGAGGGAGTTGAAGGTTCGAGTTTCCAAACGTCAGCCTCAAAACCTTAATGACTTGGAGAAGATCTGCAAAGAGGAGTGGTACAAAATCCCTCCTGAGATGTGTGCAAACCTGGTGGCCAACTACAAGAAACGTCTGACCTCTGTGATTGCCAACAAGGGTTTTGCCACCAAGTACTAAGTCATGTTTTGCAGAGGGGTCAAATACTTATTTCCCTCATTAAAATGCAAATCAATTTATAACATTTTTGATATGCATTTTTCTGGATATTCTGTCTCTCACTGTTCAAATAAACCTACCATTAAAATTATAGACTGATCATGTCTTTGTCAGTGGGCAAACGTACAAAATCAGCAGGGGATCAAATACTTTTTCCCCCTCACTGTATATGTATATATATATATCTATCATCACACCACCACCACGCTTGACCTTTGGTATGATGTTCTTACTGTGGAATGCAGAGTTTGGTTTTCGCCAGGCATTACTGGAACCATGTCGTCCAAAAAGCTATACTTTTGAATAATCTGTCCATAGAATGCTATTCCAAGAGTCTTGATGATCATCCAGGTGCTTTTTGACAAACTTGAGTCACCTTTTTGGACGAGATGGTTCCCATTATGCCTGGCGAAAACCAAACACTGCATTCCATAGTAAGAACATCATACCAAAGGTCAAGCATGGTGGTGGTGGTGTGATGGTTTGGGGATGCTTTGCTGCCTCAGGACCTGGACGACTTGCCTTAATAGAAGGAACCATGAATTCTGCTCTGTATCAGATAATTCTACAGGAGAATGTCAGACCATCTGTCTGTGAGCTGAAGCTGAAGCGCAGCTGGGTCATGCAGCAAGACAATGATCCAAAACACACAATCAAGTCTACATGGAAATTGCTAAAAAGCAACAAATTGGAAGTTTTGGAATGGCCTAGTCAAAGTCCAGACCTAATCCCAATTAAGATGTTGTGGCAGGACTTGAAACGAGCAGTTCATGCTTGAAAGCCCACACGTCACTGAGTTAAAGCAGTTCTGCATGGAAGAGTGAGCCAAAATTCCTCCACAGCGACGCGAGAGACTGATCAACAACTACAGGAAGCATTTGGTTGGAGTCATTGCAGCTAAAGGTGGCACAACCAGTTAGAGTGTAAGGGGGCAATTACTTTTTCACACAGAGGAATTGGGTGTTGCATAACTTTGTTTATGAAATAAATGAAATAAAAATGTAATTGTTGTGTTATTTGTTCACTTATGTTCCCTTTATCTAATATTAGGTTTTGGTTGAAGATCTGATAACAATCAGTATCACAAATATGCAAAAGTAGAGAAAATTAGAAAGGGGGCAAATACTTTTTCATAGCACTGTATATATATATATATATATATATATATATATATATATATATATATATATATATATATATATATATATATATATTATATTATGCGTGGGAATACTTTGGAACGGATTTTCAAAATCTAAATCCCTTGGAGCTGATCTGCTGGTGTTTTATCCAGTCTTTTATGTCCAACAATACAAAATATAAGCTTTGGAGTTTAGGGGATTTTTTCCACTCAAGGCACATGGTAACCCAAGAATTTGATTACTCAACCAATTTCGTATTAGTCACCTCACATCCTCCTCCTATCTGAATGTGGGAGAACGTTTACTATTAATACTCCATCATCCTAAAGCAGGGTGGCCCACGGGTGATTTCATTTGCCCCCCCCCCCCCCCCCCCCCCAAGTTGTTTTTTATATTGTTGGACATAAGACTGTAAAAACACCAGGAAATCAGCTCCAAATGATTTTAATTTGGAAAAAAATCTGTTCCCAAGTATTCCCACGCATAATAGAGAGACACGTGACCGTATACAAAATGTAAGCAAGGTTTGAAATGATTATGTTTTAGTCAAATATTATATCAGTTTGGGCTTCTTGTGGTCAATTTGCAGTCTACAAATGAATTGTAATTATGTTCCGGCCCACAGACTATACGTTCAAGAAAATAAATCGGCCCGCGGCTGAATCTAGTTGATGATCCCTGTCCTAGAGAATGAGAAAACATTCAGGCCTACCACAGTACACACACCCCACACAGACACACCACACTTTACAACAGTAAACAGCTAGCTAGCCTGTTAGTCACTAGGCTAATATATTCCTAGTAGCCTACATGGGAAAATACCCTGGCTTTGACTCAGAGACAGGAGGTGTTTACCTATGAGTAACAAAGGACACACTAACATACAAGTCTATATAGGCCTAATGAAAGTCCACAGGAAGAGGCATTGCCATAGAAATGGCTGATAACACTACCTGAAGCAGTTACTGTAACAGCAGTATTAGTATGGAAGTCTTCTATCGTCTTATACCATGGCATTGTTGAATACTCTTTTCTGATTGGCGTTCTAGAGCATGCATTATTTCCCTGTAACTCATGGTATATATGTTTTGTTCGAGCTGCTTTTGAAAGCAAAAGTCGAATTGAAAACAGTATTGGCATTGTTGAATTTGATTTTCATAATAGCAAGCTAGGACTGATGGTTTGGTTAGCTAAACTAGCAAGTCTGTTTGGTTACCACAGCAACTACTGCAGCTATCTTGTAAACTTTCTAGCTACTTCAGTGGATGTTGAACACATTTCTACTGGCAGATGTGTTAAATTATATCCATGGTATAAAAAGGATAATCAACTCAAGGCTCTATGCGTTCTCTGGGAAGTAATGCAAATCGGTGGAAGGTCAGTTCCACTCATATAGCACGTCGTGGAATACACCTTCCACGTTGTTCATTATTTTCCATAGAGCGCATAGCCCCTCGTTGATTACCCCTTACATATTCATTTGAAACGTATTATCCAGCAACTTATTATACAGCAATAAGCCAATTAATGAAAGAGGTATAACCTAAAGCCTACTAAAACATTCATATTGATTTGACCTAACATCTTGAGATTATATTAACATCTGTGTGTATGTATATCAGAGTGTGAGAGAGTTCAGGTTCAACACCAAACACGCTCACACACACGCTGACACACACACACGCTGACACACACACACGCTGACACACACACACGCTGACACACACACACGCTCACACACACGCTGACACACACACACGAAAGGGGATCCAGTTGCCTGTGCAGCTTCCTGCTTTAGGGCCAGTGCACATTCTGTGTCTCAAATGGCACCCTATTCCCTATACAGGGCTCTGGTCAAAAGTAGTGCACTACATTAGGGAATAGGGTGCAATTTGGGATGAAGCATACACATGCCTACTGCTAGACCCAGCTGATAAATAACTGTCAGTCTGAAAATAAAGCAGTAAATATAGATGATGTGAAATAGGATGAGCTAGCCAACACGCTCACCAGCCGCTAGCCAACACCCTCACCAGCCGCTAGCCAACACCCTCACCAGCCGCTAGCCAACACCCTCACCAGCCGCTAGCCAACACCCTCACCAGCCGCTAGCCAACACCCTCACCAGCCGCTAGCCAACACCCTCACCAGCCGCTAGCCAACACCCCTCACCAGCCGCTAGCCAACACCCTCACCAGCCGCTAGCCAACACCCTCACCAGCCGCTAGCCAACACCCTCACCAGCCGCTAGCCAACACCCTCACCAGCCGCTAGCCAACACCCTCACCAGCCGCTAGCCAACACCCTCACCAGCCGCTAGCCAACACCCTCACCAGCCGCTAGCCAACACCCTCACCAGCCGCTAGCCAACACCCTCACCAGCCGCTAGCCAACACCCCTCACCAGCCGCTAGCCAACACCTCACCAGCCGCTAGCCAACACCCTCACCAGCCGCTAGCCAACACCCTCACCAGCCGCTAGCCAACACCCTCACCAGCCGCTAGCCAACACCCTCACCAGCCGCTAGCCAACACCCTCACCAGCCGCTAGCCAACACCCTCACCAGCCGCTAGCCAACACCCTCACCAGCCGCTAGCCAACACCCCTCACCCAGCCGCTAGCCAACACCCTCACCAGCCGCTAGCCAACACCCTCACCAGCCGCTAGCCAACACCCTCACCAGCCGCTAGCCAACACCCTCACCAGCCGCTAGCCAACACGCTCACCAGCCGCTAGCCAACACCCTCACCAGCCGCTAGCCAACACTCTCTACTACAGGACCTTAACTCAGCTCCAAGACCAGTACAACTAGTAGGCTCACACTGTCACACTATGAAGGGGGCCTTTGGATGTTAATAATAATATGCCATTTAGCAGACGCTTTTATCCAAAGCGACTTACAGTCATGCGTGCATACATATTTTTTATTTTTTTGTGTATGGGTGGTCCCGGGGATCGAACCCACTACCTTGGCGTTACAAGCGCCATGCTCTACCAGCTGAGCTACAGAGGACCAGGATGTGGGACAGGAAAGGGTGCTGCTAGCTAGCGAACACTCTCTACCCTAAGTAAAAAGGTTTTGCTACAGCATGTCATAATGAACAGGTCCCAGTAGCCCACTACCCTGTTTCAGAAGGTGTTCCTCTGGAGGAACAAAAGGAAAAGGGTGCTGAAAGGGGCCTGGTTGGCTGCTGAGGGCAGGTCACAGGAAGTGTATTCCTGTGTGATGATGATGCGTTTCCTGTGGCTCTGTTCTATTGCTGTGGTGCCCCGACACGCTGGTCCAATTAGAGCACATCAAAGACCCTCCGCATGACTCCACACACACACACATTAGTATGACAGTGGAAACACTTCAAACAGTGACAACAAGCTTTATCGGAGAAGAGTGTTGGTTTTTCTACGGAAAACCACACACACCCACAAAACACACACAGTGTTGGTTTTCCAATGGAACGAAACTAAGAAATGACCTCGCTAAGGGGGGCAGCAAGGAGTCAACGCAACGAACACAAACACACACTCTCTCTGGTGGAAACACACACACACACACAGGGGCAAGTGCAGGTCAAGGTTTCTCCATATTACATGGTACCGTTTGACCCACTTTGGCCAGGACCTGGATCAATGAAGTGTATGTAGTACAGTAGGTGAGATTCCCTCTCTTCTCATCATGATTACCTTTTACACTGCAGGGCATGCCGACAACTGGAGGGCCAGCGCACACACACAGACTGCACAGTCACAGACTAGGGTTAGGCGGTATCCAGATTCTCATATCGTCCTTCTCTTATCCTGGGATTTACGGTATTACCAGCTTAGTATAAGCCCATTAGGTGTCTATTATCAGAATGCTAACAAAATTAGCATTTCCATGGAGGCTGCTAGATAAATATGCTAACGAGCGCAAACAAAAAAAAATGAAACAAATTGCAAAGACAGGCAGTCCAGCTCATAAAGTTATACGTATTTAGGTAGGAGCTACCGAATGTCATTTTTGGTGAGTTTGGACATTTACAAGCGAATGTGAACGAGATATATTGGTGCAAATGAACAGTACTGGCTCTAGGGCAGCATTCAAGCTGTGTCTGTGTGGAGTCTGGAGTCGCTAGGGCAACGGGCCTGCCTGCTCTGCTCAGAGAACATGGGGGAGGAGCAGACAGGCTGAGAACTGAGAGGAGAAAAAAATGCTAGGAAATCAAAAGATAGCAGTGGCAGCTGTACAGATAACGCATCCAAAAGAGCTGTGACTTCTCAAACACGGCAAAAAGCCAACACATTATGACGCCTCCGTCACCTCATTAAGTCAGCCACTTACTTAGATAACGTTTAACTTGCTAGTTAATGCAGAATTATTTGTTTTCAGGCAGGAAAAAAATATACAACGAATAAGAAATAGCTTGCTGCGTTTTGTAAACACAGATCTAAAATGCTTCTTATTGTAATTTCTGCTCGGCATCAGACTAATGTTGCGCTTCAGTTGCACTTCTCCACTGCATTCTATCAGCAGACAGCTCTGACTGGTGTATAGCTGCTTTCCTCTGGTACTTTTCTCAGTGTAGCCTACTTTTCTCTGGTAAAATGCTAGATTAACTTTAAGAAAAACATGATGAAATGTAGCTACATTCTATAATAAACAGAAATATGATGGCCATGCATAGTTTAAGGCACTGCATCTCAGTGCTAGAGGCGTCACTACAGACCCTGGTTCGATCCCGGGCTGTATCACAACCGGCCGTGAACGGGAGTCCCATAGGGCGGCGCACAATTGGCCCAGCGTCGTCCGGGTTTGTCCGGGGTAGGCTGTCAATGTAAATAAGAATTTGTACTTAACTGACTTAACTGCCTAGTTAAATAAAGGTTAAATAAAAAAAATTAAAAACAGTTTTTGCAAAACATACCTTGCTTTTTCATTGTAAGCTCATTTAGCCTACTTGAGTGGCTGCCAGCCAAATAGCGTTGCACTTCTGTTGTCATCTGATGAAAATGAAGCTGTTTTCTGCCGAATGTGTTGCACTAATGTATTTTCTGTGAAGAAAAACTATAGTTGCATGCCCCTGATCATTCTATGGAAGCAAAAAAACACTTCACTTTCAATATAAAACATGACCCCTGTCAATACACAGCTGGACTCCCGCTTTCTCCAGCTGTGCTATTTACAAACAAACACGTGACTGGCTCAACTGTTCTGGGGAACTACGGACAGCTTCATAATGTTAAATAATGTGACAGGTGAAATGAAGAACTCGATCTTCTTTATCTCCTAACATATTGCACAAGTTGACTGCAGGTATTTACTTAAAAAGTAGCTACAAATATTAAAATGTATAGAAAAACCTCAAAGAAATTGTTTAAACGGTATTGAAAAACCATCCTGTGGCTATTTCCAAATACCCCGGTATACGGTATATTACGGTGTACCGCCCAAAGCCTATCACAGACGTATGAGCAATACGCTTTTGTATACACACACACACACACACTTACTCACCGCACCCCCCCTCCACACACACACAATCCCTCTGTCACTCACCCTTGGACGTGGCAGTCATCCCGTCTGACTTGATGAAGTCTATACAGCCGTAGGCTCCGTTGTCCTCCGCTACTGGCACAGTCACGTTACTGGCTTGGGGGGCGTTGGGGGTCGCCCCGGTACCATGCCCGGTGCCCCCCTGCTGCTGGGGTACGGGTAGAGGGTTAGAGTCCCGGTCCTCTCTCAGCTCCAGGGCGATGTAGTTGAGTCCATTCTGATACCCTACAGACATGTTCCTGCACATCCGACCTCCAGGAGGACACCCAGATGAGGCAGAGGCCATGCCCAGATCAGAAGGCCCTGGCCGGGCATGGAGGCCGGCCGAGTCCCCCGCTACCCCCTCAACACACATCCACACACTGTCAAAGGAGCCAGAGCCGGTCCACTTGGAGCTCTCAGCCAAAGGAGCTACGTTGAGGGCTGAGGGGTTGGCTGAGTCCGAGGAGGGGTTGGTGCTGGAGCTTGTGGTTCCGCCTCCTCCGGAGGTGGAGGATGAGGAAAAAGTTTCGGAGCTGTGTCTGCGTCGCCCCTGGGGGTCCGCGCGTACCACCTTGATGGGCTCAGGCTGGGGGCTGGAGGAGGGAGGGGAGGCAGAGTTGGGGGGTAAGGTGGGGGGGGTAGCGGCCCTCCATCAAACACAGATGCTGCAGCATGGCCGTGGGGCTACTCCGTAACCCCCGCGACTCCTCACCCCTGCTGAGGTTAAAGGTCATATCTGTGTAGTCATCTGTCCCCGTCCGCCATCGAGCTCCAGAAGAACCAGGGGCCCCACTCACGGAGGCCCCAGTGGCAAGAGGTCGGATGTAGCTGGGTGGGTTCCAGGGAGCCACCAGAGAGGGTCTGGGAGACTTGTTCTTAGCCAGGCGACCTCCATCATCAACCCCACTACCACCACCTCCAACCCCCACCTCTACACTCATATAGTCCTGGTTCTGAGGATGGGGGTGGGGAGGGGAGCGGCGCTGCTCAGCAGAGCCCACCGAGGATGAACCATCCTGGGCAGAGAGGGGATAGGACGTGGGGGGTCTGTAGCAGCCCCCAAACTCGATGTTGATGTACTCTCCAGGGCTGGAGAGTACCTCGTCGGCGGCCGGCTCGCTGACCCTCAGAGACCCGTGGAAGCTGCGGCGCCCTAGGGGGAGGCGGTTGGGCCGGACCGGGGTCGTCCGTCGGTCACCGTTAGCCGCTTGGTGGTGCACCCCGTAGGGAGGGGGCGGGTAGGCGTGAGGCGGGATGTGATGGGTGTCTGACCCCCCACTACCAACACCCCTCGTCGTCACGCCCCTCTCGGCGACGTTGCCGGTAGCGATCTGGGAGTAGACTGGTTTCGCCGGGGAGCTCATAGGCACATACTCATCATGTTCCCTCTGTTCTCTCTCTCTTGCAGCGGGGGCCTTGTAGGAGCGAGGCAGGGAGAAGTAGGGGCTGTATGATTTAGGGTCTCTCCCTTCAGGGGTGCTCAGTGCATAGTATCCCCCCTCGTTGGAGAGCTTCCGTCCCCCTGCCGCGTCCCCTCCACCTCCTCCTCTGCTGTAAGACATGTCCATGTATTCTCCATTCTCAGGACGCTCCACTATACTACCAGAACTACTGACACTAACTCCACCCAGACCCATGTTACTGCTACTGCTGTGGGGGCTGGGGGAGGCCTGGACTGGGGAAGAGGAGCTCCGCCCCCCTGGTAGCATCATCATGTAGCCGCTGGGGTCTGTGGGCTGTTGGGGCGAACGTGGGGCTAGGGCTGAGCTGGGGGCTTGGGGAGAGTGGGAGGGTTGGTGATGGTGGTGGTGGTGAGAGGGGGAGCTGGCTTGCATAGGCATGTAGTCCGGGGCGTCACAGGGTGAGGCTGCCACCCCACACAACATGGGCATGTAGCCGCTGTCCTCCTTGGCCGAGGAGGAGGAGGGAGGAGGGGGTCGGCCCTGGCTGTGCTCGGAGCAGGAGCTGTAGTCAGAGCGGAGGGAGGAAGAAGAGGAGGAAGGCTGGGTGATGCTGTCGGTACGGCCCAGAGACAGGGCCTCTCTCACGGACACCGACTCGTCCAGCGAGAAGGTGGTCTGGGTCATCTTCTGGTACACGGTCACGCCACTGCTGCCGCTGGTAACACCACCCTGACCCCCGGGCCGCGTGAACGAGTGGGTCTGCCTCCTCAGGGACCGGTCGTCATCCGTCGACGTGCTCTCGTCCCGGTGGGGGAGTCTCCACGCTACCAGAACTACTCCCTCCACCGCCGCCCGCACCAAACACCTCGCGGTGCCAGCCCATGACCATGTAGTCGCTCATGCTGTTCTCCTCTCTGATAGGTGGGGTGTTGCCCAGGGAATCAGGCGTGTTGCTCCGGACCCGGAAGTAGCGGAAGTCCCCAGGGCTTGAGCCGTACTCGTCTGAGGAGTTGAAGCCTCCGTCGGAGGGGGAACCGCAGATTGACGCGGAGGAGGGCCGGGTGAGGGTATCGGAGACCGAGCCGTGCCCGCTGCTGCTGGACACGCTGACGGGGGAGGTGGTGGAGGGGAAGTGGGAGACGGGGAGTGAGGCGGAGCGGGCGTGGTAGGTGGAGCCTGGTAGCGCCCTGGCGTAGCGCCCTACTCCCCCGGTGCTCCCGGTGTTCCCCGCCCCTACCCCGCCCTCCTGGCGCCCCAGGTGGATCCGGGCGGTGTTCAGGTGGATCAGGCTGCCAGTAACGGAGCGGAACGGCCGGTTCATCGTCCCCTCACCCTCGCTCGATGTTCGGAAGCGATAGCCGCTGGCACCAGAGCTCTTACTTGATGGCGGCGTCCCAACCACCGACTCGGTCCTGGAGCGGCGCTGGAGACCTGTTTGGCTCGGAGGCAGGTTGCCTAGGTGACGGCGGGTGGTGATGAAAGCAATGGGGTTGGAGCCAGACGATTGGCTCTTGCTCCTGGGGCGGATCTCGGTGAAGGCCTTCAGAGCCTTCATGGTCTCCAGAATGGTCTCGTGCATGTTCTGTGCCACTACAGAGTCATCTACCTGCATCCATATCTCCCCAGGGCCTATAGAGGATGACCGACCCACCTCCATGAAGAAAAAGCTTTCTGAGTGTCCACAGCGTCTGATGTTCATCAGCTGAAGGTTGACACATGGCGTCTCACAGTTTAGTTTGACCAGGTGGATAGTTTTAGTAGAGAGGCATAAACGATACACACCTGTGAGGTTCTTGGTCTGACCCAGCCCTTTGGGTTTCACGTTCACCTGCCACACCTCTTTGAAAACCGTACCTGGTGTGACGGTACCGTAGCCATCATCCAACTCATCCGAGTCTAGATGACCCTTTTTCCCCTCACTCATCAGTTCACTCAGGGCAACGTACCAGTCGTCTTGTTCCTGCTCATTTTCAGCCACAATCGCAAAGTATTCATCCTTAGTGTAGAGGGCTATGAGGTGTTTGTTTTTGGAATCTGCTCTTTTGTTGACAGTGAAGCACTGATACAGATAGATCACCCTTTTCGGGGGAGAAGGGGCGGCCGTACCTGTTGCGGCGGCTGCAGCAGCAGACCGCAGGCTATTACGGAATTTTTTCTCGCTGTCATAATACTCCAACCGGCTGAGGCCTAGGTGGCTGGCCGCCCTCAGCACGAAAAACCTCTTGTGGCCGTGTTTCTGTTTCCGCAGATAGCCACACTTCTGAATGTCGTCCACGACACCTTCTGAGGTAGCCACGCTAACATTAGCATTCACGGCGAGTTGTATCGCGGCCGACGCTGCGTTTACCGACGCGGCGAGTGTGTGGTGGCTAGCAGCAGGGTCCTGTTGTAACAGGTTCAAAGACGACGACGAAGCTTTCCTTACCGGGGACTCCGTTATGTTTTCACCGGAGAGATGATGCTGTGGTTGCTGCGTCGCCGCCTGGTAGTGGTGCGACAGCGGGTGTTGTTGTTCTTTGGGCAGCGAGCTCTGGGGGTAGTGATGTTGTCTGGAGGGTGGAAAGTGCTGCTGATGGACACGAGCTCCGCTGGCTCCGACGCCACCGATATTCAATAATAGGGAAGGGGGTTCCCCGACCGAGGTGTCGTTGCTGTTGGCCGCCGCCGCCGCTGGTTTCGTCCCGATGACCCTCTGTTGCGTCTCCACTAACAACATAGCGGCTTTGCTTTCTTGGTAATTCGTGAAATTTGCCATTTAGAGAACACAACCAAAGGTCACTTTATTTACCTAAGCCGTGATGTGGACCTAGACCCCATTCTTGTTTTGGAGACGGGCTCCGGCTGGAGCTGCTGTGGCTACACGGCGCGATGGTTAGCTACAATACATGCCGAAATGTATGTTGGTTCCGTTTGAAAACGGCCCGTCCTCCAGGCCTCTTCGTGACAAACAGGTATCCAATATGCGCTTTTAGAAAAGGAAGCACACCCTGTGAAACATCTCCACGTTCACCCCAGTTTCTATAATCGTTAGCACCCAAGCTAGCGATCAGTCCCCTTCTCACTCTCTGTACACAACTCTACCGAGCAGAGCACAAACAACACGTGACCCGTGCGTACCCATAAGCAGGAGGAACAATGAGCGAGTCGGGGCTTCTCATTGGATGTTCAGCGAGATTGACAGAAACGGACAAGTAAATCAGCCAATCGTTGAGGGTCATTCGTGTTTTACGTCTATACGGTCGACTAATGATATCGCACGGAGTTTCATTGATGTAAAAAATAGGAGGGTACGTTTTCGTGATGATCGACATCTGACTTGCCAATGATTATCGGTAGAGTGATAGGCGTTCGTTGATACTACCACTCTCATTGGACAATATTGTTGATTGTCGTTGAGGTTATCTAATCACAGTGTGACCACATGGACCATTGGCTGTGCTGTTTTCGTTTGGCACGAAGGTGAATCCCCTCCCTCATATTGCAAGTTTCTCCTATGCTACTTATTTGTAGGTATTGAAGGCCAAATGTGCCCCAAAACATTTCCTTATCTCCTACCCCTTTGGTATACTTTGCAGATCCAAAAGAACTGGATAGGTGTAAGCAACATGGCAGGGACTACCCTAAATCCATTGGAATGCAATGAAATACCACCTATCCGGTTATTTCAGGGACAATATTCGTAAAGCGCCTAAGAGTCAAGGTGCTGATGTAGGATCAGGTCATCCATCTCCATAATCGTATTCAAACAGATTAGCACTCCTACTCTGAGGTGCTTTACGCGCGACCCCTGATCTGCAAAAAGCAAGGGGTCACAGTGGGTGTTTTGAAATGATTCATATTGTTTTGTTTTTCCTGTATTCCTTTTATGATTAGTTGTTTGCACGCTGTAGTGGTGTGAATCATTATGACTCAGCATGGTTAGGTATTTATTCAGGAGCTTGAGAAATAATTGACCTGTGCCCTGTCTGGTCAGAGAGACAGGGATGGGTGTCAAGCATAATAATAAGTTATTCATTCTATCCAGACACCTACCTTGTTAAAGCGGCAATCAGCAGTTAAAACAATAACAAAGATGACTCCCCACAACTGTTTAGTTAAAAAGCGGGGAGATGGGGCTGGAGAAAAGTAACCACTCTCAAATTCAAAAACAGAGCTATGGATGCAAAGACTGACCATCCATGATATCTAAATGATAGTTTTAACCATGTTTTTAGGCTATACAGTGTTTGTTTACAGTTACTTTGTTTACAAACATTGTCATAAAACATTATATTTTGGGTTCTGATGGGATACGACTGTTGAACTAAGCTCGTGATCCATTTATAAGTTATATTCTTCAAGAATCAAGTCCAAAAATGGATGTAGCAACTGCTGATTGCCCCTTTAATTGAATACACAACAGTAGTGTCTTTGGTCATAATGTGAATAGGGGCTCTTTTCAATCAGATCCGCTTTAGCCGACATCCAAAGTTCTTTGACGGTGTCGGAGGTGGAACTGCATTACAGCTGTCAAATCCACAACTTGCATTATACCTAAAGCACACATTACCATTGGCTGCACAGAGTCACATTTTCATTGAATTTTTTAGTTATTTATATATCTTTTGTTGTATTTTTTATATATATATTTGTTTTTTTTGTGTGTTGCTTTTAGGGGGTAGATCAGCTTTAATATTGCAGATAGATTGTAACTTCCATCAATGTAGTTGTCTGCATCACTTCCAATCCCCCATATGTTTTTTTCCCGCAAATATATCTATCTATATATATATATATATAGATACAGTGAAGTAAAAAATGTATTTGATCCCCTGCTGATTTTGTACGTTTGCCCACTGACAAAGAAATGATCAGTCTATAATTTTAATGTTAGGTTTATTTGAACAGTGAGAGACAGATAACAACAAATAAATCCAGAAAAACGCATGTCAAAAATGTTATAAATTGATTTGCATTTTAATTAGGGAAATAACTATTTGACCCCCTCTCAATCAGAAAGATTTCTGGCTCCCAGGTGTCTTTTATACAGGTAACGAGCTGAGATTAGGAGCACACTCTTAAAGGGAGTGCTCCTAATCTCAGTTTGTTACCTGTATAAAAGTCACCTGTCCACAGAAGCAATCAATCAATCAGATTCCAAACTCTCCACCATGGCCAAGACCAAAGAGCTCTCCAATGATGTCAGGGACAAGATTGTAGACCTACACAAGGCTGGAATGGGCTACAAGACCATCGCCAAGCAGCTTGGTGAGAAGGTGACAACAGTTGGTGCGATTATTCGCAAATGGAAGAAACACAAAATAACTGTCAATCTCCCTCGGCCTGGGGCTCCATGCAAGATCTCACCTCGTGGAGTTGCAATGATCATGAGAACGGTGAGGAATCCGCGCAGAACTACACGGGAGGATCTTGTCAATGATCTCAAGGCAGCTGGGACCATAGTCACCAAGAAAACAATTGGTAACACACTACGCCGTGAAGGACTGAACTCCTGCAGTGCCTGCAAGGTCCCCCTGCTCAAGAAAGCACATATAGAGGCCCGTCTGAAGTTTGCCAATGAACATCTGAATGATTCAGAGGAGAACTGGGTGAAAGTGTTGTGGTCAGATGAGATCAAAATCGAGCTCTTTGGCATCAACTCAACTCGCCGTGTTTGGAGGAGGAGGAATGCTGCCTATGACCCCAAGAACACCATCCCCACCATCAAACATGGAGGTGGAAACATCATGCTCCCCCTCTCCTCCCTCCCTTTCACCTTCTCCCTCCTCCCCCTCTCCTCCCCCTCCTCACACACCACTAAACCCCAGATGATATAACAGTTCCCTACATGAAAGCACTCTAGTCTCCTCTCTTTTATGCATGACATTTCAACATAGTTAATTGATCGTGTCAAAACCTGTGTGTTTAGTGCTGGGAAGGAACTAAAACCTGCAAACCTCGTATTTTTGCTCCACTCACTCAGATGTACAGTAAATGGTACTGTACTGTTGACACCAGGGGAAGCTGGGTGGGAGGAGCTATAGAAGGACGGGCTCATTATAATGGCTGGAATGGAATTCATTTACAGTGAGGGGAAAAAGTATTTGATCCCCTGCTGATTATGTACGTTTGCCCACTGACAAAGAAATGATCAGTCTATAATTTTAATGGTAGGTTTATTTGAACAGTGAGAGACAGAATAACAACAAAAAAATCCAGAAAAACGCATGTCAAAAATGTTATAAATTGATTTGCATTTTAATGAGGGAAATAAGTATTTGACCCCTCTGCAAAACATGACTTAGTACTTGGTGGCAAAACCCTTGTTGGCAATCACAGAGGTCAGACATTTCTTGTAATTGGCCACCAGGTTTGCACACATCTCAGGAGGGATTTTTTCCCACTCCTCTTTGCAGATCTTCTCCAAGTCATTAAGGTTTCGAGGCTGACGTTTGGCAACTCGAACCTTCAGCTCCCTCCACAGATTTGCTATGGGATTAAGGTCTGGAGACTGGCTAGGCCACTCCAGGACCTTAATGTGCTTCTTCTTGAGCCACTCCTTTGATGCCTTGGCCGTGTGTTTTGGGTCATTCTCATGCTGGAATACCCATCCACGACCCATTTTCAATGCCCTGGCTGAGGGAAGGAGGTTCTCACCCAAGATTTGACGGTACTTGGCCCCGTCCATCGTCCCCGGTGAAGTTGTCCTTTCCCCTTAGCAGAAAAACACCCCAAAGCATAATGTTTCCACCTCCATGTTTGACGGTGGAGTGTGTTCTTGGGGTTGTTATTGTCTCTCACTGTTCAAATAAACCTACCATTAAAATTATAGACTGATCATTTCTTTGTCTGTGGGCAAACGTACAAAATCAGCAGGGGATCAAATACTTTTTTTCCTCACTGTAGCTCAGTTGGTAGAGCGAAAAAGTATTAAAAAGTATGCACTCACTAACTGTAAGTCGCTCTCGATAAGAGCGTCTGCTAAATGACTAAAATGTAAAATGTAAGCATATGGAAACCACGTTTGACTCCGTTACATTTCTCCCATTCCATCCATTACAATGAGCCCGTTTTTCTATAGCTCCTCCCACCAGACTCTACTGGTAGACTGATAACATATCCCCAGGCAGCAGTGTATTATCTTATATTCTGTCTGTACTGCCTGGCTGTAACAAAAACCCACAAAAGCCGGTAGGATCTGGAACCCTGATGTCCAGTAAATGATACTGTCCTGTAGACTGATACGTATTCCCAGGCAGCATATCATTTCTCGACGAGTCCCTCTATGAGCAGGTTTATAGTGGGATTACAATCTGGTTAAGGATGAACCGGCCCCTCCTGTACATGATGTTCTAGGAGCAGCAGATCGGGTCGGGGCAGGAGCAGAGCAGTAGATAATCCCAATCCCAGTTGCATTCTGGGTCCCCATCTGCTGCGTCTGCTCTGTCTGCCACCGGAGGGCACTGTAGTTTAATTAAAACGGATTGAATGAGACTAAAGGGACTTTTCTGGCATGCAAACTGACCCTTGCCTTAACCATAGCCTTAACCAAACCCTTTAGCCTGACTCTAACCTAATTATAACCTATTCTAAAATTAAAGATTGGTTTGCATGTCAGAAAAGTCAATTTAGTCTCTACCGATTAAAACCTGTGACATGGGGAGTGGGGCCAGTACATGGGAGAAGGGTCGAATAAATTACCTCTACTAACCACTGATACAAATCATTTTCATAATTGATAAGGCTATTAGGTTTACCTTTGTGTATCTAATTTGA